CAGGGTCGGGGCCAGTTGAATCTCTGAGGGGATGATGTTCCAAAGGGTGGGCACTACACTGTAGGCAACTGAAAAAGCTCTGCTCTCGGGCTCCACCAGGTGGCCATCCTTTGTAGATGGAACCTGGCGCATACATAACTTATTACATGACTTACTTCATACATAACTTTTTTTCAGAGTATCATTGGGCACCTTGCTGGTGTGGTAGAGAAAATGGCAGCTCAGATGGCCCTGAGACCTCTGCTGAAATTTTAAACATGGACATAGGCCAGTACAACTTTGGGATTGAGGCCAGTGGGACATTTTAACTGCCTCATTCTATACAAGGGCCCAATGCATAACACTGATGTGTAGGAAACATTAGCATAAATCCTAAGGTGTGTGGGACTAAATGGGGCTCTTATCTGCTCCATGCTATTAGGATGAAGGGAACACACTAATCAAATAAAAGAGTACACCTGACATATTACAGGTAGTCCCCAGTTTAAGAATGAGTTCCATTCCCAAGGTCTGTCCTTAAATCAAATTTGTATCAAAGCCAGAACAGTATTATTGTATAATACTCAAATTTTGCTACAGTGGGCTCTGTTCTTAACTATGGGTCGTCTGTAACCCAGGTGCTCTTAACCCAGGGACTACCTGTAATAACTTTGTGAAGCTGGGGGGGGGGGGGTTGGCATATGTGGAAAAAAGACCTCCTCTGGATCCCTTTCTAAACCAATTGCTATAAAATAACCAGACCATCATCCAAGCCCCCCATGAAGTTCAGACTGAGTTAATAGCATGTTTTGCACCCAGAGTGGCATAGGAACTATAGTTGCTAGTGCCTCCAGAATCAATTCCCCTCCATACTGGCTGGAAAAAACAACAACTGCTGGGAAGGTCTGTAGATTTATTAATCTATACCCTATTTTTCCATACAAATTGGATTAACATGGTGGTCAAAAACAACCAAATAAAGCAAACTATAAAAATGTAATTCAAGCAGAGATATACAGATAACAAAAAATAAACTTTTCTTAATTTTGCCTTTCAGTTTTTCTTTGATTCAGCTTCTTCCGTAAGTGTCCTGAGGAAGTGCAGGAAACCAGAACTAAATTAAAAATTTCACCGGGGGGGGGGGCAAAAAGGATCATCAATTCGTATTCACACATGACTCTTTAAAGGAAGCTGAACTGTTTAGAAAGTGCAAATCCAAAATCAACTGCTTCTTTAATCAGGCATAATCCCAAACGAGGGAATGGAGGGTAGTATTAACTAGGTCAAATTGCAAACAGTAAATCTTCGTGAAATATTTACTTCTCAGAATCTTTCACAGAATATGGAAAGAGAATGAGGGAACCCAGTTCTACAAGACTGACAGTTATAAAAATGTATTCACAAAGGCTATGTAAAAAATAGAAAACCTTATCTGAAAAATCCAGAGCATGTTTAAATTCAATCTAGAATCCTCAAACATTATTGTTTACAGGTTGTACAGAAGAGAAATAAGTACACTTATGTACTGTTTCCCAAAAGTAAATAACGTCAGTTGTACAGATTTGTTCTTAAGTCCCACAGAGTTCAATGAGACTTGCCCAGTTCTAGGTAAGTAGATATAGATTACACCTGAAAGGTTTTTTTTTTTTCACTTGTATTCTAAGACTATACTCTAAGCTATATTTTTAAGATTGAATTTCATGTATTCACGCCCTCCTATTCAAAGAGGATCAAGAGAGAGAAATGTGTTTGGCTTTAAGTCAGAAGTTTATTTGAGGATCCTCATTTCCTCAGAACATGATCTCACACATTTGAAGGGATATTGAGAAACCTGCTATTCAAAAAGAACACAAGAATTCTTGCATGGTTTCTCCAGGTCTGGGAGGAGAATTTAAGAACAGAGGCAAAGGGCCAGCCTGGATGTTTATCTTGACCAAACACAGATAGCTGGAAACTGCTTCTATGTGATCGATTCTTCCCAAAAGCAACAAATCATACAGTGGAAGACATCACAGTTACTCTGAGATGTAAAGATCCCATGTCATAACAACTGTCTTTTCCCTAGAAGCAGAAGCCATTGAAAGCTTCAATAAATATCTCAAGGAGACAATTCAACCACAGTTAGTTGCACAATATTTTATCTGCACGAAAACTTCACATCCAAAAAAAGCAACCAAATGTGGATGGATAGAAAACTGGATCCATACCTGTTTCATCTTCACCAACTCTCTGCGTGTGTGTTCATCATTTCGCAAGTCCTTCTTGTTTCCCACAAGAATGATGGGCACATTTGGGCAAAAATGTTTTACTTCAGGAGTCCATTTCTCTGGTATGTTCTCTGGAAGAAGCAAGGAGATGGGAGAACCATCTCACTAAGCAAATCTGGCTGTTCTCCCCAGGACAACACAGACAGATTCATAAGTGTAATCCCTAGATCAATACAAGGAAAATGATCCACTTTTTGCCAGAGTGAGACTGAATACAATGAGAGTCCTATTTCCAGAATCCTGGCCTGTAAACAAGTGTCAGCCTGCTTCATTCACCACACCCCACTGCAGATGTAAGAGAACTTTGTACTCTCTAGACCAGTAAAAGACGGGGGGAAGAAGGAGTGATTGAAGAGTGTATTGGAAGCTCCCCATCTAAAGCCCAGAGCCACAGTCAGAAATATCCCTACAGACATGTGCTAGCTTAGAACTACAGAAAGACTTAATGCCACAAAGGCTTTCTGTGCAGGAAAAAAAAAAAAATCAAACCAGCACATATTCCTTCATCCTTACATTTTCTTCCTCTGAAATACGGCCAACATCAATTTCCCCTCACCTTCCTTCTAAAAGTAACTGTTGAGCCCTTACCGTCCTTATGTACTGAAAAACTATTAATGGTGTCATAGTGCAAACATATCCAAGGAACTAACCAAATTTAGAAGCTGAATAATCCCTAGGTAAGTGGTTAATCTTGAATGGAGGAAGCCATTCAGTCTCCATCCAGCAAAATGGATTTCTGTTCTTGGATCCTTAAAGGATTCCTCTTTCTAGTAGAGACTTTGAGAAGATATCCTGAAGCTTCTGCCAGTGTTTGCATTCTCTTAGGCAGCCATCCATATATATAGGCTATTAGTAATAGTAAAATTTGCCCCTAAAATTCAGCTTTCTGCTACATTAAAGTAGCATTGTGAGCCCATTGTCAAAAGAATAGAGTTATGGTTTTGTATTTCGCAGTTACGTATTCTATTTCAGAATATTTGATAACCAACATTTCAAAAGGATCCAAATATGGTTGAGGAAGATCTGATATGATTTCAGAATAGAACAGCTTTCTTCTTATATAGTTGACATATTTGTTTTAAAGAGGTGAACTCGTTCACCTGAAAAAGCAGGCCTACTCAAGCAGCAGCCATTGCTAGGAAATGAGTTGATGGATCTCTTGATTGACTTGATTATGTGCCATCAAGTTGACTTGGTGTCAACTCTTAGCAACCACATAGATAGATTTTCTCCATGACAATCTGTCCCTAACCTGGTCTTCAGGTCTTCCAACAGTGCACTCATTGCCATTGCAACTGAGTCTATCCACCTTGCTGCTGGTCATCCTCTTCTTCTCTTTC